CATTAAAACACACCCGTACGCTCCAACAAGTTTAATTTCTTCTATTTAATTTTCTAGGGGATTTCTAAAACTTTGGGGGGGGGGGCTGTGTAGAACTTCTGGATTATAAATAACTCGTTTCATTTTCCATCGACTGTGGTTTCTCAACATTCAAAGGACACGTTCAGTCATTCTTTAAAGTAGGAAGACGGAAAGATTTGGAAGAATAGGGAAGGAAGAAGGGACGAGGTTGGATCATATTAGAATTTAGGCAGAGTAGCACGGGGTTGAGGGTCCAAATGATGATACATGGTCCAGAATGCTTGGACTTCTGGGGCACTGGCGGGTGCTAGTGGAGGAGTGAGGCATGATGGGATTAGATTAGCGCAGCTGATACAACAGGAGAGGATCATCAACACCTGGCCGGATTGTTCAGGCCTCGGACCACACTGCCCCCTCCTCCTTCAGCTCACAATGATGTTGACCAAACCACCAAGTGAACAGTTGTTTCATTTTACTTTTTAAGATTTTATTTTTCAGTGATGTCTGCACCCAACGTGGGGCTCGAACTTACAACCCTGAGATCAAGAGTTGCACGCTCCACCGACTGAGCCAGCCGGGCGCCCCTAAACTGCTGTTTTAAGTTTAAAAGCGAGAAGAGCCTCTATTAAGCAGTTCCACAAGCTTCGAGGCAAGTAGGGCTGCTTGAGCAGGTTTCTGGTGGGACATGGCCATGAGACTTGCCATGTAACTTCACTGGTCTTCTTCTTCAGTCATAGCTGACGAATAGCAAACTCTGGAAGCCCCTGCCAGGAGCTCATTTAGAAGTTTCTGCTGCTAAGCCTGAGTAACAAGCCATCTCAAAACTTGGTGACATAAAACACAGTCTCAGTTTCCTCACAGATTCTGTGAGTCATGACAGCTTCTCTCTGCTCCAAGATATCCGGGCCTCAGCTGGGAAGAATGGCTGAGAGTGACTTGAGGGTTGCAGCTGGAATCATTTGGAAACTTCTTCACTCACCCGTCTGGGGGCTGATGTTGGCTGCCAGCCAGAACACCTCCACGCGGCCTGTCCATGTGCTTGCTGGGTTCAAAATGTGAGCCTCCCAAGGGCACAAAATGGAACATGCGTGGCACTTTATGATCTAGTTTTGGAGGTCACGTAGTGTCATTCCTGTTGTACTCATTTATTGTTTTTATTAAAAATTCTTTAAGCTTTATTTATTTTTGAGAGAGAGAGAGAGAGAGAGA